ATTCCACAAAATTTGAAAATCTAAAGGAAATGGAAAATTTTTTGGATAGATATCACTTACCAAAATTAAATCAAGAACAGATTAGCAAGTTAAATAGATGCATAACCCTTAATGAAATAGAAGCAGTTATCAAAATCTAATGAAATAGAAGCAGTCATCAAAAGTCTCCCAACCAAAAAAAGCCTAGGGTCAGATGGCTTCAGTGTAGAATTCTACCAGGAACTCAAACAAGAGATAATACCAGTATTCCTCAAACTGTTCCACACAATAGAAGCAAAAGGGACATTACCAAACTCTTTTTATGAGGCTACATATGAGGCTTGATACTCAAGCCACACAAAGACACAACTAGAAAGGAGAACTACAGACCAATATCTCTCATGAATATTGATACAAAATACTCAATATAATACTGGCAAATCGAATCCAAGAACACATCAGAAAAAAATCATCCACCATGATCAAGTAGGCTTCATCCCAGGGATGCAAGGTTGGTTCAACCTACGAAAATCCATCAATGTAATCCACCATATAAACAAAATGCAAAAGAAGAACTACATGATCATCTCACTAGATGCTGAAAAAGCCTTTGACAACATCCAACATCCCTTCATGATAAAGATCTTGGAGAGAACAGGAATAAAACGAACATACCTAAACATGATAAAAAGCAATATCTAGCAAACCAACAGCTAACATTATTTGAGAGAAAATCAAAGCAATTCCTCTAAAATCACAAACAAGACAAAGATGCTCACTCTCTCCATATCTCTTCAATATTGTACTTGAAATTCTAGCTAGAGCAATAAAACAAGAATAAGAGATCAAGGGGATACAAATTGTAAAGGAAGAAGTCAAACTTTCACTATTTGCAGATGATAAGATAGTCTACATAAGTGACGCGAAAAACTCTACCAGGGAACTCCTACAGCTGATAAACACTTTCATCCAAGTGTCAGGATACAAAATCAACTCAAAAAAAAAAATCAGTAGACCTTTAATGCAATGAGAAAGAAATCAGAGAAACATCACCCTTTACAATTGCCACAAACAACATAAAATATCTTGGGGTAATGCTAATCAAACAAGTGAAAGACCTGTACAGTGAGAACTTTGAGTCTTTAAACAAATAAATTAAAGAAGATACCAGAAAATGGAAAGATCTCCCAAACTTGGATAGGTAGGTTCAACATACTAAAAATGGCAATCTTGCCTAAAGCAATCTACAGATTCAATGCGGTCCCCATCAAAATCCCAACACAGTTTTTCACAGACCTTGAAAGAACAATACTCAACTTTATATGGAAAAACAAAAGACCCGGGATAGCCAAAATAACCCTGTACAATAGAGGAACTTCTGGAGGCATCACCATCACTGACTTCAAGCTCTATTACAGAACCATAGTCCTGAAAACAGCTTGGTATTGGCACAAAAGTAGACAGATAGACCAATAGAATTGAATTGAAAACCCTGAATTAACCCACACACCTATGTGATGGGGGAAGTACTTCTGTGTATGTTTATCTTATTGGTTGTTAAATAAAATACTGTTTGGCCAATGAAACGGCAAGTTAGGCA